CCGGAGGGCCCAGACCGCCTCTGGAAGCTTTTCCGGCCAGACGCCCTTGGCTTTGTCAAGCTGCCGTTTCAACAGCTTCTTGACAATTTTATTCATGGCTTCGACCTGTCCGTTCGATTGGGGGTGTGCTGGCGAAGCAAAGAACAGGTTGATCTTGAGTCGGGTGCAGAATTCCCTAAAGACTTCCGAATCGAACTGCCTGCCGTTATCCGTAACGATGGTGTAAGGGATGCCGAATCGGCAGCAAATGTTTGTCCAGACAAAATCTTCGACCCTGGCCTCCGTTATTGTCGCTAGGGCTTTGGCTTCTACCCATTTGGTGAAGTAGTCTACGGCAACGACATCGTATTTGACCTGACCCTTGCCCTCTGGCATCGGACCAATTAGGTCTAATCCCCACTGGGCGTGCTCGTGAATCGGCCGCTGGCGCTCGCCACGAATATGAGGGACACTACCAACCCGCTGGCATTTGTCCCACCTCCTGACTAATGTGTTCGCATCCTGGTGAAGAGTCGGCCAGAAATAACCCTGTCGGAAGACCTTGTGTGCGAGCGATCGGGATCCAGAGTGGTCACCGCAGATTCCACTGTGGACCTCCCGAAGGACGTAGTCCCCCTGCTCCTTGGTCAGACACTTTAGATACGGCGTCATGTAGCCTCGCTTGTACAGAACATCGTCGATGACTGTGTATCTTGTCGATCGGTAACGGAGTTTCCGAGCTTGGGACTTATCGGTAGGAAGGGTTCCGGTTGTCAGGAAGACATAGATTGGAGACATCCATGTGTCTTCGTACCGAACGGTACACACCTCAGCGGCGGTTGTACTCGGCTGGGATAATATCTCCACCGGTACCTTCTTTCCGATCTTGTCATTTATTGCCGAAGCCAATCGTGAGAGCGTGTCGGCGTGGCTGTTTTCTGACCTGGGGATCTGCCGTATCTCGTAGGCCTGGAATTTCTGTAGTAGTTGGTGAGCTGCCGAGAGGTAGGCTGACATGGAGGCATCCTTTGCTGCGAAGTCTGCCGTTATCTGATTTACTATGAGCTGGGAGTTACTGTGAATGCTGATCTGCCTCGCGCTCATGCTCTTGGCTAGCCGAAGGCCAGCCAGGAGGGCCTCATATTCTGCCTCGTTATTGGAGGTCCGAAAGTTGAATCGGAGGGCATACTCAATTTTGCTACCGTCCGGAGTGGTTAATACCAACCCGGCGCCACAGCCTTGCTGGTTTGCCGAGCCATTTGCATGCAGGACCCAGAGAGGAACGGAAGTGTCGAAATGTTCGGTATGCATTTTATCTGGTGCAAGAGATATGGCGCTCGGCGATGATGGCTCCAATAGCGCAGGAGGTGTGAGCTCGGAGATGAAGTCGGCAATGGCTTGGCCTTTTTCTGCAGGCCTCGGTTTGAACTGTATGTCAAATTCTCCCAACTCGATTGCCCATTTGACCAATCGGCCAGATGTTTCCGGTTTTTGGAGTACCTGCCGAAGAGGTTGGTTCGTCAGAACTGTGATTTCGTGCGCCTGGAAGTAAGGGCGGAGTCTTCGCGCCGAGACGACCAGGGCCAGAGCTAGCTGCTCCAGGGGTGGGTACCGAAGCTCTGCGTTCTGGAGCGCCTTGCTGACATAAAAGATCGGTAGCTCCACCTTCTCTGGCTTCCGTATCAACACTGAGCTAACGGCAGTGTTGGATACCGAAAGGTACAGGAGTAGTACCTCACCCGGGAGCGGTTTTGATAACAGTGGTGCCTGGCTCATGTAGTTCTTCAAGTTTTGAAACGCCTGGTCGCATTCGGGAGTCCATGCGATATGATGTTTGCCCCCTTTCAAAGCTTTGAAGAACGGTACGCATTTGTCGGTAGCCTTGGAGATGAACCGTGTCAGGGCAGCGACACGTCCGGTAAGGCTCTGAATGTCCTTCTGCGTCTTCGGCGTCGCCATGTCTATTATGGCTTTGATTTTTTCGGGATTGGCCTCGATACCCCTTTGACTGATCATGAACCCAAGAAATTACCGGAAGAGACACCGAAGGCGCATTTCGCCGGGTTCAGCCTCATTCGGTAGTCCTTTAGAATACCGAACATGAGGGCCAAGTTTTCCAGGTGATCCCCTGCCGTTCGGCTTTTTACCAA